TTTTATCGTCATTAATTCAATTACAATGTAAGGCTCTTTTCCATTTAAATAGGCTTTGACAAAACATTGTCATCCTGATAGGCAAGCTTCTGGTCTTTTAATACTAAATTTGAAACATCCATCATTAGCAAAATGAGGGAAATTACTTTCCTTATAAACAAATCATAAGACATTACAAATGTCATTAAAAAAACCCTGTATAGGTCAGAAACTGTAGAGGATTTACAAAAATAGTGCCACCACGTTTGTCATAATTCTCTCAGCCCATGCAATTCTTTCTTCTGCTGAGAAAAGTGGTGCTGTCCCAAAATATAGCACTGCTAAAAGTTTATTATAGCTTTTTTCCTGGTGAAGATTAATTTATAATAAGTTAGTAATGTGCTGGACTGTATTTTATGCTTATTCTGTGACAGTAGTAATTTCAAAGAGTACAACATACATGACAAACTGAAATAAAAACCAGTGGATGTCACACACTACAGTTCAGAGTATAACGATGTGATTTGCAAAAGTTTTCCAGTCCTGTCCCTCCTCTCATCTCTCCTAGTACCAAACTAAAATGTTCATTTTTGTCTGGCTGTACATCACTTGTGATGTGACTTTCATATTTGACAAAATACACATGCAGAACTTGTACTTTTAAGGCTTTTCTTCCCCCCTGTTTTGTGTAGAGCTGGAATGATTTCAAGTATAATTAGAACAGACACTCATGCATTTCAATTGGCTCTTTGTTTTACAGGTTGGTTTGTCTTCAGAAACGTAATAGTGAAAATTTGTACAGAACCCATGGTTAGAGACAAATAACGTTAATGACTATTGGGGTTGCACTGGGCTAACATACGTAAAAGAACATTAGTTTAAATAGCACTCCAGCCATCATACCATACTATTAATTTGAATAGTTAAACTCAGTGAGCTCCTTCTGAAATAGTCACTGAGCCTATATGAAAAGATTTGCAAAGAGGAGAAACACTATACATAAAAAAAAAGAAATTATGAAAAATTAAGAAAAAACCACCACAAAAAGGTATAAAACTTTGGATTTATATTATGATAATGATGCAACACAATACTCTGTGTGCTACAGGACATAGCAAGCACCATGTACACATGTACAAATGAATTTGTACAGTATAACACATCTTACAGACTATGAACCATTCCTCTGGCTCTGGGACCCAGTGGCTCTGGCACAGGACCCACTTGCTAACACCACTAGGTAACAATTTGAGCATTAAACAGCAGAAGGCTGTCACTGCTTCCTGTGCACCCAAATTTCGTTACTTGAAATTGCACAGACCCTTTCAATGACATAAATCGCGTGTAACCACGTTTTATGCCTCTTGTGCAAGGTGGAAGGAAGAAATTCTGAAATTGGAGCACTGTCACTCTGCTTTGCCAATGGGCGAGTCTCTGGCTGGACGTGCCTCCCCAGGAATCCTTTGCTGGGGTTAATTTCCAGTACTGCAGGTAGAGAGAACAGCCAAGGTGACCAAATGGTTTCTGGTCTTTTGTGTTTCATATATCCCCTGTGCTTTAGTTCTAGGTAGTTATGCAACATGCTTGAATGTTTCTTTTGCAGCTGACCATTAACAACAGTGCATGTAGTCAGTTGCTTGAGCAAATTGGGTCATTGCTGGTGAAATTAATTTCTGATGTGTTCACCCCATTAGTGTTTGTAGGGAGTACTGCTCTTCCTTAAAGAGTATCTAAGGGGATTCCGTTCTCCTTCCACCAGTTCTTGAAAGTGTGAGTTAGTGAATTAAATATCAACACTGTTACTGGCTCTTACCACACACAACCAATTTCCTCTAGTAGTTAAAAATAAATGAACCAATTTCGGAGAGTAATCTGTTTTGCAGACATTCCTTTATCAACACCATCACAAAATAGAAGTGTATAAAATTAATATTCCTCGATTAAAGCTGTGATGGTGTGGTTCTTTTTAAAAATGTGTTTGTTTTCCACAGGGCTGATCTGCAAGGATGAAAAATGTCACCGCTAATTACCAGTCTGCTATGAAGTTAGTAAAATAGTGAAATAATCACTTGTCACAGTAGCAGAGACTGCTGTAATACCTCCAAGAAAAGCAGAAGTACATCCTGTGGCTAAACATGCCCCGGGGCTAGGAACGGGAGGACGTCTGCAGGCGGAGCTCATGCACATGCAGCTTCACCTCTTCCCATTTCCCAGTTATCGTCTGGCATTTAAGTTCATCCACTGAAATGAGTTATGCAGATTGTATAGTTGGATGCTCAGAAAAATGGTATTTCTCACAGTAATTTACAGATCAATAGAAGTAACTTATTTTTTTTAATGCAAAATGATGTTACGCTGCATGTGGCATAGCTGAACCCATACTCATCCATGGCAAGAAGAGGCCAGAAGAAGTCTTAATTCTTTAAGTTAGATGCAAGTTGTGTTAGATTTTAATTATTTTTTTCCACCTCTAATCTTACACTAAGAAATTAGTTTTTAGGAGAGAAACCCATCTATAAAAAACAGGTGAAAAACTCTGTCCTTCTCGTGGATTCTGGAGGACCTTTTTATTTCTCCTTTAATCTGATAAAACTCACTCTGAACAGAGTTTGGTTTTGCACAAGAGAATACAGGATCCAGGCTCTGGGTAGCAGGCTATCTGCTGGCCAAACCCCACTCTTCAGAAGATAAATAAACCATCAGCAATGGGCCTGGGGTACAAACTGGGCAGAAATGGGGTGGGGGTCAAGGAGGATTCATCCTCAGAATGGCAGGGGAGAATCTGCAGAAAAAGCTAACAATTTTAGGCTGGGTTTTTTATGCCTCTCTCCTGTGATGACAGGGTGCAGTGACAGAGCTAGAGGAAGAGCTAAGCCAGGAGCAGTGAAGAGGCGTGTATCCTCCCAACACCCACGTGCTGCAGGAGAAAGCCCTTCCTTTCTTCTCCCACCAGGAAACGGGCCAAACATCTACATCTCCATAAAAAGAACTTCTCGATGACTTCATCTCTCCTGAGCCTTTTCCACAGAGGAAAAGACCTAGCAGCCTTGTCATCTTGTCACTACTCCTTTGCAGAGAGGTAACTGCAGAGAAGACGGATTAACTGAGCAGTGGTATCTCCTCACCTCCTAAAAGCATGGTCACGACACAGAACACCAGAGCTGCCAAGGCAGTGGGAGTATTTAATCTCGTAGCAGGCTTTCTGCAGTCATATTGTGATTACACACACCGTTGCACATGTGTGTGCACAGATGCACGCATGCACACACGCGAAGCACACACACACAAATATCCTGCTTAAAAAAAAATAAAAATAGAAGACTATTTGCATCCCAAGGTGCTATGGCCACAGGTAGCGCTGTGCTGGCTGCTCAGCAAATCATGTCCTAAGGGAATGTCAGAGCCCCGATTGTCACCGTGGGTTGGTCAGGGCAGGGCTGCACTGCAGTTCAAACCGGCCACCAAACCTGACACTTGAAACAGTTGTGCTGTCACCTTCCATTGGGCTGCTTCTGTCTGAGCTGCAGAAAAGGGGGCTGTGCCTGAAAATCCCACCTTAAATTGGGCTGCACTTGAGGGAGAATGACACAGCCAGTATGGTGTCATTTTTCTTAACCGACATAACAGCCCCCAGCTGTAATAACTGAAAAAGTGAAAACAAATAAACCCTTATTATTTCCACTCAAGATTATTCGAGTAATTTTTATTGAAAATATAAGATCTACAAAGCCATGGATACCCAGCGTGGAAGAACTCATTAAGTTAGCACATTCATCTTTAAAAGGAAAATTTCAGGTCGACCTAAGGTACAATAATGTTCAATTTAAAATCTCGGTTTTCCTTCTGTAAGTTTCAAATCTCTTTTCATTAGGAGGTTCTGTGCAAGAGCTGCTTGTCATGAAAGGAAACACTTTACAATTCATGAATGTGTTCATTATATAATAAATGAACAGCAACAATATACTAGCCTTTTTTTTTTTTCCTGTTAACAGTCGTGTGTTAAAGTAAACTCTTATTTTTTTTCCACGATTTGGAAATTAGTTACATATGCACCAAAGGAGCTAGTAATTTCTGCTGCTTGTCAGCTACACACAATGAATATATTGCTGTGTGCTTTCCCCAACAATGAGGATTTTAGTAATATGCAAGGTGTATAGAACATAATACCAAAACCTGCATCACAGAAAAGGTTAATTGTTTTCTTATTCAGCTGCCAGAGTTTATAACCTTAGGCCCCTCCCCAGAGCCAAAGTAGGGGTGGCCGTCCATTAGGTTATGTAAATTAAACATATATGTTTTCCTTGTTGGCAAGTTCCAAGCAGTAAGCGAGAGTGCAAACAAGGATCTGTAAGCTGCCACAAAATGTATTCATATTTCTACTCCGTGTTGTAAGAGCCAAAGGGAGGACACGTATGTCAGATGTTGAAAGAACAACTGAATCTTTGTTTTTGATCATTATGGTCAGTCTGTCATGAGGTCTTGTATCTGAACGCTAAAAATGGCACCACACTTGGACATCCCATAGCCTTACACAGTACATTTGTGTTTCCCTAGCCAGCGAGCACTGGTCTCACAGAGACCCTGACTTTATAAGCTAACAAAATAAAGATTCGGGTGCTGAAGAATTGAAGGGAGGGCTTATACAAAGACAATTAACCCTCACACCAAAACCTAATTTTATGGTTTTACTTAAAGCCACACTGAATCAGTTGTGAGAGGGTGAAGATATAAATACACCTCTCTGCTTCATCCATAAGAAGGTGAACAACTGACCATTCGAACAGAGGGTCTTGAAACAAAGCTTAGTTGTCCTTTAAACAATGAAAAGGAGAGGCATACATAAATGGTCACCAAGGCACAATATGACAAAGGTGAAGAGTCCCTGAGACTCTGGTCTGGGTCTGTACCATTCCCCTCCCTATACAAGTAAATGAGAACATTTAGGAAAATATAATACAAAATCTCTTACAGGAAATATAGACTACACTTGCTAAAATCACTTCCCTAAAAGTGTTTATAGCTTTTTTATTTTTTTTTATTTTTTTCTTTTTTTTTTTTTCCTTCTTTTTTTTTTTTTTTTAAAAGACCTTCTTTAAACAGATAATGCAAAGACTGGTCCATTTTTTTCTTACCCGGCAAGCCAAGCTCTAATGACTTCACTAAGCAGAAGTTGTATTAAAATACATCTTCATAGTATTGCTACAATTTGGGTAAATATGTTCTGAACAGCTTGATGAGTACTAAATAAACTTTGCTGTTTTACAGCATACATTTTAATTTTTTTGCACTTTTTAAAGAATAGAAAATGCAATTATAGTGTGCAAAAGAAAAAAAGATTAATTATCTTCTAGCTGAATACTGTAATTTTAAGCCATGCCTTCCATAAAAATGTATTGACATGTGTAAATAGAAGAAAAGAAAAAAAATACAAGCAAACAGAGATTTCATTTCTTTGCAAGGAAAGATTAACTATCACAAACTGGATCGCTTGAGTGCTGTATTCTTCAGACAAAGAAATGAAAAAAACAACCCAGAAACCCACTGAAATGTTTCAAATGTCATCCATTCCATGGTAACAGGTTAAAATTGCAGTGTTGCTTTCTACTACTCCTGTTAACATGGAGAGAATGATTTGCTGCTGGTTGGATACTGAATACAAAAAAGCAAAAGAAAGTTGAGATCATCCCACATGAAGTCATTATTAGAGCTGGCTTTTCCCCCGTTTTGAAGTACAGTAGTGACTTGTAAATTTGACCTTTTCTAAAAATCATCTGAGATTTGAAGATTTAACTGCCTGCTTCACCCAAACAACAACTGCTGAAAGAATTTATTCTATAGAGCCTGCTATACAGTGCTCAAAACGTTTTGGGGTGCTTTTTAATGAAAAGATACCACAGAAAGTAGTTTTAGGTTTTTGTATCTCCGAATCACTAACACATTGTAGAGTCCATTTATTCTTCCATGTTTGAAAATGGTTTCTGCAAAATCAAAATAACTGTTAAACCCCCTTACACCATGCTTCCAACAGCTTGAATTTAATACTTCTTGAATGGAATGACATAATTTATTTTCTTTAATTTGCAGTATGGCTACATCAAACTAGCTTTAAGTCACAACTGTACCTAACCACAGTTCTCTGCAGCAAACCCATGATTTACAATATCTAATATTGTGGTTACAGTGCAGGGAACCGTGGGTAAGAAACCTCCATGTCAGAGTACTGTGGTTGGGGTTTCCCGGAAGAGTGGCAGTTGACACCTCTGGAATATTCATATATAAGTGCTTCAGTCAGATGGTCCTGAGTTGAACGGGTAACTCAGGCACTATGAGAGCCTGGCATTCAGTCTGCGGGAATGTGTGTAACCTCCGTCACTCGAACCGCTTTGCAAACTGTAGTGGTCTTCAGCATCACTGGCACTTCCAATACTGTCCATTTCACCTGGAGTAAACTCCATTCCTTCAATGTCTACTTCTAAAGAAAACATAAGAAGGCACATTTTCAGAAAGGCAGCGGTTGTAGCAAGTAATCACGGGCCAGTATTGCCCGTGTCAATCAACATCCAGGTGAAACCTGAATCATACTTCACTTCCTGTAATTTAAAAAAAAGAACTGGAGTGGTAATTCCTGAGGAAAGGATCATCTTGTCCACCTGAGAATTAAAATCCCTTCTGTCCTCATCCGCATAAATACACCGCATGACATCAATACCAAATGCTGTCACAGAACTGTTCCAACCTGTGCAGAGACACTGATCTTAATGGAACGATTCTGTCTGAGTTTTTGTTGAAAGCTTGAGTTTACTTCTAAATAATGTTTTCTTGCTTCCCTACTTCCCTTCTCCTTCCTGCTCCTGCAACTCCCTTTGGGAAGCCCGTGTTCCATTACCTTGTTCAGAGTCAGTGGATATTGTTGATCCCATACTGTCAGTGCGGATACGCTCCATGCCCTGCACGGATAGCTGCTCCAATCGGCGTTTGAGGTAGCGGTGTTCCCGCTGTAATTGTTCTTTAATATTTAGAGCTTTTCGGTCCTGTTCTTCCAATTTCTTAAAGGGAGAGAAAGATTGTAAGCTGACAGTTTTTACTCATGTTAAAACATAAGTAACTTAAGATGTTCTCATAAACAGTAATTTTAAAGCAATTTAAATATTCTCATCTATTAATTTAAAATTAAAATTAAGTTAAATTTAAAATTTTTGGGTTTTTTGTTACCATTCTATAGAAGTCAGTACAATTTAAGCAGGCTAGGCCAGACCTGAATTTGTTTCACAATAAAATACATGGATACCGGGGGGTGGGAAATGCCTCAGAGACTCTCTTGCCAGTAGAGACGTTCCTCAGCTAAGACCAAATTATTGTTGCCTTGGTTGTGAGGAATATTTAAATCATTTTGTCAGGCAGAACTGGCATCATCTTTGATAACTAGAGTGCAGCTCAGGTTTCAGTCAGAATGCAACACTTCTTGAGGTGAAATAAGAGACTTGTCACCATAAAGGAGCCACTGCGAGCCTCCTGAACGCTCTCCCTCTTACCACAGGCCAAGGAAATGTTTAGCATTTAAAAAGCTTCATTAACAATAATCAGTATTAATTATATACAGTAGGAGGAATTTACTAACAATTCTCTTTATTCTTGCATTTTTTTCCTTGAACATCTGCAGAGCAAATATGATAATTCTGTGATTACCTCCTACCAAATCAGTGGTATTAATCCAAAACTTCTCAGCAAACAGCCTGTGAAAGGATCCTTACACACATCTACCTAAAATCTCCACACACCCCCCCACGTGAATAAAAGAGGGTATTAATTTTGGAAATGAATACTTCACAACTGGTAAAATGTGCTGCACTGTTGGTCCAAATGCAATAACAGAAATAGTATCTTTTAAGATTTCAGCTGAACTCTCTTCCAAATCACTGACAGCCATTTAAAAAAATTGACTGTATAATTAGGGATGAAAGTGTAATGAGTACGATGGGATCAAAAGCAGGAGGGACGCACAAATCAAAACACCTTATATTATTTAAAATGTCTAACTGATGAAGCAAATTACAGGTTGTAGCAGTAAAAGTACTTATAAGAAAGACCAGATTTCTCAGTGAGCTGTGTTTACATGACCACGGAGATTTAGGAGATGTGCAGGGAGCGAATACAGCTGCGGACGATTCTTCCCTACCATCTGAATGAACCTATGCTTGGTTTTCTGAGGAGAGCAGGGTGGGACAGTGCACAGCAAACCACTAGCAAAATGATTGTTCAGAGATTTTGCTGTTCCAATGAAAGCCTGAAGGCAAAAGTATTTATCTTTGAAAAAATAATTGACACTGTTGAACCGGGCAGTTTCCTCGTTGAATGCAGCCTCGTGTTAAGCCCCCTCCCAGGCAGTACACTATGTAGAGATGCATCACACGTGGATACACAATGTTATAATAAGAAAAGGAGTTGGTACATCCATGTACACAACAAACCAAATGTGCCCAATTGATCAGATTTCCTTTTCCTGTATTTTCCTGGCTGCAGTCCCAAACTCTAACAACTATTTTAGGAATGAACTCAGTGATTCATATCCAGGAGACTCAAAACGGGCCAGTGTTTCACGGCAAGTGTCAATATACAGGGGGGTGTGTGTGAAAAGTCCAAAACTAATGACTGCATTAGAAATGGCAGACAGCCAGTGGCATGCTCTGGCAGTGCAGCGGGGAGGTAGCTGACCTGACGAAGAGGAGCAAGTAAGTGGCAACACAGTTAGGGCAGGTTCAGTTAAAATCTAAGAAGGAAAGCTAAACTTCGGTTTTGGTTTTCAGAAGACGAGTACTTGGTACCATGCACGATGGACTTGGAAAGAATCTGTTCCTAGCTTTTTTTATCAGCAGCTGAAATGGTAACTACATGGCTAATCTCTCACACTTGCCACTTGTAAAAACAGTTTTTCAATTTGTCTGCATAAACCCATGATAGGGGGGCAGCCCAAGACAAAAACCACATGCAGTGCCTTTCACGCATGTTAGCCTGAATTATAAACAAGAGGCCAAAATCTCAAATGGTAAAAACAGGGGTTGCCCAGCTGGAGTAAATGTGCTTACAAGAGCTGAAGAAGTAGCTCAGTAAACTTGTTCACCAGAAAGGTTTTGCTTAAATTAATCTTCAGTTCTTCATATGAATTACACCCATTTCTGCAACTGAAGTGAATCTTAATGCTGTACAACAGAAGGCTGTTTTCCAAAATATCGCAAGATTAGTGGCAGTCTTTAGCCTCTCCTGACACTTTTCTTGACCTGTTTCCCTTTAACACTGAAAAAATTACAGTGCTGGACACAGCAGCAGAAACCTGTTCTTTAACTTTTATATTTGAATACTTGTTTGTCTTATTTCTGCACATAACTCCATTCCCCTGAAAATTATGACAGTGAAAATGGGAGTGAAGGTGGCTTTGGAGAGAGGAGGCCTGAGGAATAATTCTCTTTTAATTACCTGTGCAAATGTACAACCTGCAGTGCTGCTGGATCACAGGTGAGATTTTGGGTTGGTTTTTGTTTTAAACTTGTAACACCCATGAAACATGCAAGGGGAGTGGTAACTAAGAGATGGCATTTCATTTTTGGTTTCTTTTAAATGACTGTCAAATACTCCAGGATCTGGTCATCAAGATGTGGGATGGGGATATGGCTTACTAGTAGCTATAATCCCTTTGACTCCATTAGCTTTTTCGATCATGAATGGATCTGGCTCTTTACACTGAAATAAATGCAGTACAATGCTACTTTGCTCAGTCCTTAAAAAATGAATATATTAATCAAAGAATAGCATTGATACATATATATTTTTAAAAATACAGTGTAAACCACTAGTAACTAAGCAGAAATGACAAAATCACCCTTTTATATATCTGAGACTGCAGGGTAAATTCCAAAACACAAAACTTTGATACTGTGACTGAAATCCTTGAACTAATGATGGCCAATATATGCAGAACATCAGACATATGGATATGGTTTTTGTGTGAAAATTAGTTTCCTCTCTATGAATACACATTCCGGAAGATTCTGCATTAAAAGAAACAAAAATATGGATTAATGTTTTTACCTTGATATGCATCTTAGCTCTTTTCAACAGACTTAGAGTGGTGTGTCTGGTGCTGTCCGGCCCGAGAGGCACAAGCTGTTTTAGCTGTTCCAAATATAGCCGGAGTTTAGCCCGCCTGAAATTATTAAAAATGAAAAGCGTTGTAGTAAAGTTGCACCCGAACAGCATATCGTATATGCAAACACCATCTGTTTGCAGGATCTCTGAGCAGAACTCGATTCAACGGTGGCTTCCTTTCCCCTCCCTTTGGCAAAGTTTCAGACTGAAAGGTCACTTGAAATGCAGTAATGCTGCTTGGCACATTCAGATAGCAGTTTCATACCTATATTTCAAAGCGGTTTGCCCAGCCTGGTTAGTCCCATCTTAACGAAGGGGGAGTACGCTCAGAGATCTGAGAAATCCAGGCAAGGCTGCACACTGAATTCATGGCTGCGTAAGAAAGAAAAACTGGGACTTCACTCCAGCCCAGTGATTTTTGCAAGCAGAGACAGAGCTGTGGGAGGGAGCAGGGAGGCTGCAGAGCCCGATTCCCCTCTCCCCCATTATCCCTGCCTGATGTGATAGACATGCTCCTGCTACACAAGGCAAGGGCATCCAAGCATCTCTGCACAGCTCCAAGCTGCTTCCAGCCATGGTTTATCGAGAGGAAGGTCCTGATTCTCCTTCTCCTCCCATCTACTGACCCACAGCACCCCCGAGAAGGAGACATTCCTCCTCTCCCCATACAGCCAGGACAACCTTTATTATAAACACGTAAGAGAAAATACCGTCCAGCCATACTGAGTCCTGCTTTCTCTGTTACTCCTTTGCAAGTACCACTGCTGCTGCTCTCAACAACAATCTCTCTGGTACTAATGACATTAAATCCGTCAGTAAAAAGAGGATAAACAAAGTGGTATTTCTACAGCTACTTCGTTTCCAAACTTTGTCTGTCTTTGAGAAAGAAGCTGGCAATACAATAGTCCATGATACAGTTGCTTCAGCTATCCAAAACAAGGCATTGGCAAACCAAAGTATCGTGTGTGAATGCGTTTTTACAGTTAAATCCAAATTAAAATCTCTCCTGGTTTTAATGCACAATTCTTGAACAGGAATCCATATAAAATCACCTTTCATTTTTGCAACGAGATAGAAATAGATGCAGAAGCACTTACATGAGCAACATCTCTAATATTTTCCTTTCTGCCAGTCCGTTACAGATTGAACAAAACCATGACCTGGAGCATGCTGACATCCCCCACAAAGCAGGAGTAACAAGTGAAGCAGATCACAAGTGTGAGATGAATAATCATCTTTTTCAAATCTGTTCAATGCTGCATTAAGGAAACAAACTTTGCAGAAAATTTAATGCTTCTGGTCAACAATGAACCTTCTTTTGAACAATCAGTTCAGAACCAGAATTCAGCATCAGTGTTTGAAATGCAGCTGAAGAGGATTTAATATGCAGCAAATGACAAATTACACATGTGTAATTGGAATGATTAGCGTAATGTGAAAACAACCTGACAATTAATGAGGAAAAAACCCAAAGCAAAATAAAATCTAATTAAAATACAGTCCTGTAATGACTGCACAGTCACATGTTTAGTCCTGGCTGACTATAAATCAGCAATGTATTACGTAGGAATTCAAGAGCATTTTTATAAAACTGTTAATTCTTTCTTAAAGTCACTTAGGGAAAAAAAGAATATTGGTGAAAATGCGATTCTCAAGAGAAAACTGATGACAGATTCTTTGTTTAGGCCTGGGGTTCATTTTTAAATACAAGGCTCTAAACGTGACCATCTATATGCTTCTATTTAAACAACGTCAACAAAGACTGGGGTAAATAATTATAAAAATACCCCCATCAGATCACAGAGCACCTCTGTGGCTGCAAATTTAAACTGGAATCTAATGTAAATAGATCCCAAAGGTGAAATTCCAGAATTGGGGACTACTGGTCCTAATACAGAAAATCCTGATCAGGTGAATCTTCATTTCTGTGTCTTTAATATCTAACGACTATCTGGCTGGTTTTGTATTTTAAATAAAAAAAACTTGCTTCAGGGACTAAATTCAATTAATCTTTTGCCTCCAAACACACACGCAATCATCTGCGTCACTCAGCACAACTTGTATGCAACTGTATTTAGACAGCTGACAAGAAAGTGGGGACTGAAGACAAAGGAGGATACGGCAAGGAAGAGGACAAGAATAGTATCCATGTAGTAAATAGAGAGTTAAATACATTGAAATGGAACGATCAATATTCTTGCAGTAATTAAAAGTCTGATAAGGACTATACCGAATGGCTGATCTGAGATCTACTTAATATTAATCCTGGAAAACATTAATGAAACCAGAGTACATACTCATCTGCCTCTGTTATTATCTGAAGAAAGTCTGCTTAACACAGGGAGAAAATAAGGATTTAGTGCACTTCCTCACCATCAACTGGGGAATTAACAGAAACCTTAAGAAGATCCAGTGGGCACAGCTGTGTGTCTTTCTAAAGCGCTAATTCTTTTATGTTACCTGCCAACCAGGTAAAGCAGGACTTTACAGAAGTGCCACAAAGAACACATGACTGAAGCTAAGAAGAATATTTTAACTGGTCTACGAAAATAATTAAAAAGAGCTACATATTAAAAAAAATGGCTTTAAGGCGTTCTCAGAACTAACGATAGCACTAAATGTAATAAACACACTTGCTAAAAGACCTGCTCTAACTTCACTCTTTTTTTAAGGCACTTTTTCTTTCATTCATTTACTCAGCACCTATGAAACTCTTAAAGATTTTAAAGCATAAGCATGTAGATCTTTACATAAATACAGGCTGGTTTATTTGTCTAAGTCATATATTGTAACACAACAGCATAATCAATGACATAGATTGTGAATGTAAAAAAATAAAACTAGCCCATCACAATTCCAGTGGTACTGGAGTAAACATCACCATGTTTTTCATTTTGCACATCTTAGAAAAAACTGTAAGAATGCAAGAAAACATTTCAGGCATGTTATGTTAAGAGATCACACCAGCAGGAACAAGGGACTCAAATTCACAGCAGATAAGTTGTTGCGTACAGACTCTGCCAGCACTAATTTCTCTCTTTTTTCTGCAGGGACCTGACAGCTTTTGCTTTTCCTCTGCTGACTGTGACCGCTGGAGGAGGGAAAGGCACTCACAGAGGTAATCACAGCCAGAGCTGCTTTTGCATTTTGCAGCTCGTGCTTTAAATTCCACCTAGAAAAGAAGCAAGAAAAAGCAGCCTGGTCTTAGAGCAGTGGGTTAACGATCTCTGTGCATGAAATGTGGCTGAAGTTGGGTAATTATGCTCTGCTCCAGCTTCCAAACCTGACTGTTACACCTTCACCCACACAAAGCACGGTGTCAGGCCAGAACGCTGGTGCCTACAGAAGTGGGCACTTTTCTCACCTCAGATGGATGCACGGAAATAACCCCCTGTCACTGCTACTTAATTTATCAGGGAAGGTAAGGATCTCAAAAAAGCCATCCAAAATTTTAATCCTCAAACCTGCAGCCCTCTCTTTTGGGTACAGCCCCACGCATGGAGGGAGGTGCATGGGTAACCTGGCTCTGTTTTACCACATTTTCCTTTCTGGCAGAAGATAAAGGGGTTTCAGATGTTCAAGAGTTCAGTGTTTCCCTGTAAGTAGCAAACAACACGGTCCTATAAATCTGCATTACAGCTCTGGTAACGCTTAATAGAAATTAAATACAGAGCCCACAGACTTGGTCAGTGTTCCACAGCAGTGGCCACGTCCAGGAGCGGTCAGGTAGTTCACCATGTTCACATAAAGGAGAATGTAACTTGTTGACAACACGTAACAGGTAGCAGCTGGAATTCTCCTGAACTGGTTTTGAGTCCATGAAAGCTGTGATAGGCAATGCTGGCAGGTATTTCAGAACCAGTAACAAAATGAACCCTGGAGCCCCACAACTTGGTGGGACAAAGCAGCAACACAGTGTTGTTAGGAATTTCCCCCCAGTACGAGGATATCCACCAGGAATTAATTTGAAGACAACTCACTGACTCTAGTCCTCAGAGACTCCAGTTTGCTCCAGTTCTCAGCTGTGTAAAGGCTGGAGCAATGCTGACCAGAGAAGCTAGGTTTCACCACTTCTCCAAGAAAGGCTGCCATGCAAAAGTAAATTAAGATCTTTGACTTTAACCAATTTAAAATTTGTGCTAAATGAGCCTGTTAGATAACGGTCAATAAGCTTCCCCATATGTATGGAATTCCATATGCAAATCCATTTTAGCACACCAAGAAATGCAATGCTAAAATGCAGAGATTAAAAAAAAGAAACAAAAGAGCCTATTGTTCACACTGGATAATCTTCATTCCAAGGAAACTGCAACAATTCCAAGAAATTCCTACAACTACTTGATGGGTGGTGGCAATGGGAACACAAGGCCAAATAATATAACAAGAGGCAATGATTGTGAATTGGGAGATTCAGGGTGGACTTTAGGAACTATTTTTTTTGCTAGGGTGTGGTGCACAATCAGAATAGGCTGTCAGAAAGGCTGCAGAAGTGCCATCCTTGGAGGTTTTTCAAGACGCATCCAGAAAAAGACACTGCCATTCAGAGGTCCCTCCAATCAACATTTCTATAAGAACTGAAATCAGAGACTGCTTGTAAAGCTGTAGCATTCGACTCACAAGATTTCTCCCATCCACGTAACAGCAAAAAAAAACCCCCACCAATTGTGAGACTTAAAGCTGTGCCTGTGTGATCGATACAGCGCTGGTAGTTTTGTGGAGCGACCCAATCCACCTGCAGTCTTTCCACGGGGGCTCTCCAGGGCTTTTTTAGGTCCAGCCCAGCAGACAGAAGTGGCCTATACCTATTCAGACAGCAGATAGTTGTTGATGCAGTAGTTATGCAACTTTCTGATAGCAGCGAAGGTGTGTTTTTTTGTTCTGTAAACCAGACAAGTATAAATCTATAGACCTCATTTGTGGGAGGGAACAACATCCATTGTTTAAGCCACTGATCTGCACGAAGCCAGCTGGAAAGGCAAAGCCTTCCTTCAGCAAGCTGCTTAGTCCTCAGCGTGGCGTGCCTTAGCCAGGCCTTGGCGAAATTAAATGGCCCCAGAC